ATATATATATATATATATACACACACATACACACATATATACATATACATATCTACTGTATATATATATTAGCTAATTTAATTTATTTTAAAACCAGAAAAGACGATTCCAAGATTAGCATCAAGAAATATATATTCACATTATATGTATTGAATAATAGTATAATTTCTATATTATTAATTGTATAGTTAGGTTAATTTATTTGTATAATGCTTTTTGTGTCATTTCCAGAAAGTCATACTGTTATGTCTATAATGCCATAGTGCATTACTATAGAGCAAGTTTTAGGGCTGGGTGATATGGTGAAATATAACAGTGATTGATACAAGTGATATGTATTTTTCTTTGTTTGTAAAGGTTCTGTGTGAGCTGTTCCAGTCAGCTCCTCAGCGTGGGAACGTTCCAGTCTCAGGGAACATTTCTGGATTTATACGTCGGCTCTTCCTACAACTCATGCTCGAAGACGAGAAAGTTACTGTCTTCCTTCAGTCTCCCTGTCCGGTAGGTGATCACACACACATATACACACAAAATCTTACAGCATATGCTTTGAAAATCTATCTAAAGCTGAAACATTGCTGTTCTAAACTGATATCTTATTGTATATAGAAGTTGTTTTGCTTGGTTAGTCTGTTAAATGATTTATTACTGTTGCTGTAAAGCTCAGAAAAGCCTCTTCACTTACAAGGAAAATTACCCTGACCTTTACATCATCTCAGAGGGATTTAAACCTCCACTGCCTCTGAGCTGCAGTTCTTTTCAAGGCAGATAGGACACCACTAGGGGGCAGATTTATCCTCAAATCCTTGTCAATCATGCAGGAGTCCACACACTGGTGCATTTTAGGAGTACCTGTACTAAGTTGTTTAGCTGGGGGAAATGGCTAGTTTAGCAGAAAATAACGAGTTTTTTGAGAAAATCATTTTGTAATTCTGTCCGGTGTTGCTAGTGGTGCAGCAATTACACATTTCACCTTTTAATATAATCTAAATGTTGGAGGACATAACCAGCTCACCCCTTATATGACATGTGGAGTTATGCCTCTCCTCCGACTGCCAAACCGGAACGAAGCCAAATCGTAAAAACGTAAGATGTCTTTTTTTAGCCGGAGAGTCATTCAGCAGGTCGTTCCTCCAGTAAATTACGGCGGGACTGTGTGCGTTTCAGGTCAGATTAATCATCTGGCTTTCACAGAGAGTCCCGACAGAGGAGCTCTTAAAAGTTAATGTTTACACATTAGATCAGACCAGAGTGGCGTACGATCCGGGGCGTCTTCTCAAAGGCAGGAGCCAGGAATGTCATTTTTCCCTTTTCGATGTACCTTTAAGTCCACCTTCAAGGGAAATTAAGTTGTCTGGATCGCCCATGTAGATAGTGGAATCTTCAGAGGTGCATATTGAGTTTTTTTTTTTGCCAAATGCCATTGCTTTCAAATTCCTTGTTTGTTTTTTCCCTATAGCTGTAGTGTTAGAAAACTGACATCATGATCATTATCACTAAACAGTCAAATGACATTTAAGGCAATTTTAAATATCTTAAAAATACAGATTGTTCACAATGAAGTGAAATAGAGAGCTTGGTATGCAGATGCGACATAAATTGCGATATTTTTTTAAATGATAACATGACTGATTAATAGCTTGAACTGGAAATTAAATGAAGAAATCAATGCAAAAATTATTCTATAGGTGCATTTTCATGAGAAATTGAAGGTCTAACATTTTAAGATCATCTGTTTTTGGTTTCTGTTTTTCTCTGCTTTAGCTGTATAAAGGGCGCATTAATGCCACCAGTCACGTGATCCAGCACCCCATGTACGGAGCAGGGCACAAGTTTCGCAAACTGCATCTGCCCATCTCAACCACACTGTCTGAAGTATTGGACCGCGTCTCAGGTATGAGGACATTGTATTACACTACCGTTCTAGAGTTTGGGATTTGTAAGATTCGATTTTTCTTTTAAAGAAATTAAGGCTTTTATTCAGTGAAGAGGCATTAAGTTAATTGAAGTCATTTATTTTGAAAGATTCCTGTTTCAAATAATGCTGTTCATCAAAGAATCCTGAAAAGGTTTTCAACATTGATAATAATAAGAAATGTTTCTTGAGCACTAAATCAGCACCATATACTGTTTTTACTGTATTTTTAATCAAATAAATGCAAACCAAATAAATCAAATATATTTAACAATCTTACTTACAAACTTTTGGATGGTGTATGTTGACAAGAAAAACATAAGAAAAATATGAATATCTTATTGCTCTTGATTGTTTTAAACTTTTTTTTTTTTAAGTGAATGAAATACTATTTAATCTGCTAAATTGTTACAAGTAATTGTGCAAATTTCACTGGTATTGTTTTTGTGCCACTCTACAAAGCTGTCTACAAAATCAGACTCATTCACACTTTGGATAGTTGCATCTTCACCCTCTAGCCACCAATTTAGCCAAAATACTAGAAATAGCATGTCCAGCAGTCTCGTTTTACATGCGCACTGCATTATTAGATCCTGCTTTTGCCACATCTTCAGACATTCAAGTTCTGATGCACAAAGCACGTAGGTCTGGATCTGCCGTGTGGCATGGCCATCAGCATGTGTTTGTGATGAATGGCTTGTCTCCAGAGACCTTGAGCATGGCAGATATAGTCTTTGTGTTCTCAGAAGACGGCGAGAGTCACAGTATATATGTAAGATGTCCTGTCTCTGAGCCGTTCTCATGCTCGCATCACTTCCACTGATGGAAGACCCTCACAGGAAGCATAACATGTTGTTATCGTTATGAATTGGTGTGTCTTCTCAGGGATATTACATCTTTACCATTAATAATTCAGATTATCAGTTAAGCTGACATGTACATCGATGCATATGTCTCTAAAGGGAAATGTAGTTTTAGAGCCACAGGCTGATTGAAGAATGCATACACACACACTGAAATAACATTTAAAGATCTTGCATTTTTTTAGACACGCCCAGCATCACGGCCAAACTGATCAATGAACAGAAAGAGGATAAAGAAAAGAAAAACCATGAGGAAAAAGAAAAGATGAAGGCCGATAATGGTTTTCAAGACAACTACAGTGTTGTTGTTGCCTCAGGTACTGTTTAACCCCGTTTCTATATATTCCCTCGGAGTTAACAATCTAATCATAGACCTTTGATTTAGTTTACCCATGTTGCGTCTCGTCTTCATGCTTTGTTTCAGGTCTGAAGTCTCAGTCGAAGAGGGCCTTGTCCACTCCTCCCCGTCCCCCGTCCCGACGAGGGCGAGTCCTCAGTGACAAGCTGGCAGCTTCCTCAGGAGTTGATCCGTCTGCCAAAACCATCAGCGTGCCTGTCTTCCACCTCTGTCACAAACTACTGCCGGGTACAAACACACACTCTTGTTCTGTCACGCGCTCACATTCTGTCCGGTCCTCTTGCCCACTCTGTACTCTTTGCGTTTACCCTCATCTCCCACCCTTCGCTCTTCCATACAGATTAGGATGAGAGTAGAGGTCACCGCAGTGCCTGTCCCTGTCTGCCTGCCACTTCACCTCACTGCATTTATTCAGAGATGCAGAGAGTCTGATGAATGTCAGTTTCAAAGCTTCATTCTATCCCTCTGATCTCTCTTTGTCTCATTCCGTCCCATATAAAAAGCCTTTCAGTACTTCAAAAGTGAAGTGTTTGATTCCTGCTTCACTAGTGTCACCAAATGGAAATGGAACAACCAAATGGAATCTCACTTGCCTGCCATTTGGTTGAAAAAATGGCACACATCTGATTCAAAAAAGTGATTTATTAATCAGTTGAAAATTGATCTTTTTCTCCCCAGGTCAGCCATTGCCGCCGGAGATGACCTTAGCTCAGCTGCTGACACTGCTGTATGAGCGTAAACTTCCTCAGGGATACCGCTCCATTGACCTGACGGTCAAACTGGGGTCAAAGGCCATCTCAGACCCCGGCCTGTCCAAGACCGATTCTTATTAATCAGTTGAAAATGTTTTAATAAACTCTGGTTGAAATCTTTTTCTCCCCAGGTCAGCCATTGCCGCCGGAGATGACCTTAGCTCAGCTGCTGACACTGCTGTATGAGCGTAAACTTCCTCAGGGATACCGCTCCATTGACCTGACGGTCAAACTGGGGTCAAAGGTCATCTCAGACCCCGGCCTGTCCAAGACCGATTCCTTCAAAAGACTCCGTACCGAGAAAGGTATGCAGACATCTCAAACATAGACACGTGCATAGTTTTCATGAATGTAAATGAAGCTGAAATAAAATAGAAATATTAGTGTTTATAAAACTTAAATGAAAATTAGAAATGCTTCCTTGGCAAATAACTGAAATGTGTAAACTGATGTACTAAAATTACAAAAACTAAAAAAATTGAGAAAAATGACGAACAAAATTATTAAAAGATGAAAATGTAACAAGCTAATTCAGAGTATTAATAATATATAAATAACACTGGTCACGAAATGATAAAATCAATTCAGTTAGATTTGATGTTGTTTTTAATTTAATTTGATTCGACTTGGACTCATTTGGGTATGTTACGGATGCAATGTCAATTTTTCTTTCCAATGAAAGAAATTCACTCTGCTATTGCTGTAAATTGTACAGGGCTGACTTATTCCAACCAGTAACTGAAGAACTGTTAGTTTAAAGAACCTGCTCATAAGAATCATTCATTTGGGAATCGGACTACGCTGGTCACACTGTACATTATTGATTCACTAAAAAGAACCTGCTCAAAAAAAAAAAAAGATTGTACAAGTCACACAATGTTTTGGACTCACTAAAAAGAACCTGCTCATAGGAATCCTTTTTGGAATCAGACTACTTTGCTCACACTGTGTTTTTGATGCACTAAAAAGAACAGGCTTTTAAGAGTCATTCATTAGAAACTCAGTAGAAAGTGATTTCTTGCCATTGTTTCGTGATACTCAGTCTGTGTTCCCATCCAAGGTTCTTCTGCAGTTTTAACTTCCCTCTCCTACATATCCCGTTTTCTGCCAGCCTAGGGAAAAATATCCTGATTGGCCTTGTGTGTTTGTGCTTGCGTATGCGTGTGTGCCCACACATATTTCCCCCCTAGTGTCCTGCACCGTCAGATGTCAAATGATTTTGCTTTGCTCTGTCAATGATGTGTTCGTGCTTTCTGAGGGATAAAAAAAGCCGCCCCCGTCCTGACAATGACAGCTGCCTCCCCACCAGATTGCCAATATTCTTGATTGATTCTGCCTTGTTGGAATGAGCGAATGTTCATACACACATATATACCGAGTTCCTGTTAAAGCTGATGATGGCAGCTCAGGTGAATCTGCTAACACAGACAGATTTCTGGATGTCACCTGTAACGGGAAAGTGTCTTGCCAGTGTCCTAATCAGGCACGACAAAACGTCAAGAGATGAATCTGACAACTTCTCATGTTAATCAGAGTCTTTTTCCTAATCAGCAATGACAAGTGATGTGCAACGATACAATTTGTCAGTCACTTGGTTTTTACATCACTGGTAGTTTCATCCAAAATCCATCTTTACTTGTATTTTTAAGGAAAATTTAAAAGTTTTAATAGTTTAACAAAAACAGCTTGACAATTGAGCTTGCAATTCCCAGTAAGCTTCCACTGTTATTGTTACATTAGCTGTTCCAATTAAAAATTCTTGTTTTTAAAATGTATAAATTTTATTTTTTTTCTACAGCTGCATATGCATGCAATTAAAAATAATATGATTTAAATTAGCAGGACAAAAAATATTTAATAAAATATATATAAAATGTATATGTATATATAATGTGTGTGTGTGATAATTTGTTAATTATATATATTTAAATATAATTCAATAATTTTTTCTGGTTGCAACAATCATATCTGATGTAGAGACAGTGTGGCAGTATTTTGCTTTCAGTGAGTACAGGAAGTGATTTAACAATGCAAAGTTGCCATGTTGTGCCTTGTCGAGACAACAGGGTGTTATACGGGACTGAACTCTGAGCTCTCAAACTGTTGAATTTTCATCTGGAGGTGAAGATCTGGCACTATTTGTTTACTTCGCTCCACTAGCTTTTCCCGAGCACACAGCGTTTGTTTGTTTGACTCAGTAAGGAGTCATGGAGCAGCCTGCGTTTGATGGCATCCATAGAGTCTGGCATCAGAAGTTTTCAGTTTAGTGATGGTGCCTGGGGGACTCACCCCACCCTCCGGCTAATTGGCCGTCTTAGCAGAGTCAAATCACTGTTGGTGTACCAAACTCTGCTTCTTTCCACACACTTTCATCTCGCAAAAAGAACCTGCTCAAAAAAAAAAAAGATTGTACAAGTCACACAATGTTTTGGACTCACTAAAAAGAACCTGCTCATAGGAATCCTTTTTGGAATCAGACTACTTTGCTCACACTGTGTTTTTGATGCACTAAAAAGAACAGGCTTTTAAGAGTCATTCATTAGAAACTCAGTAGAAAGTGATTTCTTGCCATTGTTTCGTGATACTCAGTCTGTGTTCCCATCCAAGGTTCTTCTGCAGTTTTAACTTCCCTCTCCTACATATCCCGTTTTCTGCCAGCCTAGGGAAAAATATCCTGATTGGCCTTGTGTGTTTGTGCTTGCGTATGCGTGTGTGCCCACACATATTTCCCCCCTAGTGTCCTGCACCGTCAGATGTCAAATGATTTTGCTTTGCTCTGTCAATGATGTGTTCGTGCTTTCTGAGGGATAAAAAAAGCCGCCCCCGTCCTGACAATGACAGCTGCCTCCCCACCAGATTGCCAATATTCTTGATTGATTCTGCCTTGTTGGAATGAGCGAATGTTCATACACACATATATACCGAGTTCCTGTTAAAGCTGATGATGGCAGCTCAGGTGAATCTGCTAACACAGACAGATTTCTGGATGTCACCTGTAACGGGAAAGTGTCTTGCCAGTGTCCTAATCAGGCACGACAAAACGTCAAGAGATGAATCTGACAACTTCTCATGTTAATCAGAGTCTTTTTCCTAATCAGCAATGACAAGTGATGTGCAACGATACAATTTGTCAGTCACTTGGTTTTTACATCACTGGTAGTTTCATCCAAAATCCATCTTTACTTGTATTTTTAAGGAAAATTTAAAAGTTTTAATAGTTTAACAAAAACAGCTTGACAATTGAGCTTGCAATTCCCAGTAAGCTTCCACTGTTATTGTTACATTAGCTGTTCCAATTAAAAATTCTTGTTTTTAAAATGTATAAATTTTATTTTTTTTCTACAGCTGCATATGCATGCAATTAAAAATAATATGATTTAAATTAGCAGGACAAAAAATATTTAATAAAATATATATAAAATGTATATGTATATATAATGTGTGTGTGTGATAATTTGTTAATTATATATATTTAAATATAATTCAATAATTTTTTCTGGTTGCAACAATCATATCTGATGTAGAGACAGTGTGGCAGTATTTTGCTTTCAGTGAGTACAGGAAGTGATTTAACAATGCAAAGTTGCCATGTTGTGCCTTGTCGAGACAACAGGGTGTTATACGGGACTGAACTCTGAGCTCTCAAACTGTTGAATTTTCATCTGGAGGTGAAGATCTGGCACTATTTGTTTACTTCGCTCCACTAGCTTTTCCCGAGCACACAGCGTTTGTTTGTTTGACTCAGTAAGGAGTCATGGAGCAGCCTGCGTTTGATGGCATCCATAGAGTCTGGCATCAGAAGTTTTCAGTTTAGTGATGGTGCCTGGGGGACTCACCCCACCCTCCGGCTAATTGGCCGTCTTAGCAGAGTCAAATCACTGTTGGTGTACCAAACTCTGCTTCTTTCCACACACTTTCATCTCGCACCCCTCCGTCGAGGAGCTGAAAGGATGCACACCGGCCCAGGGATAATTCTCTCCTCTCTGCCTGGAGTCTGTCCATCTCTCTGTGGAGGAAGTGTATGGAAGACACTCCAACCACAGGCGGTGTTCTGAACCGTTGCTGCTTGTTACTGTGATGTGCCATCGACCTGTTGGCAATGAGTCTGTGCCTGGACACAGACGCCAGACTTGCAAATTAGGTTTTTTGAGACTTGCTGGTCTGTTACAAAACTAAGATCAAATACGCCCTACTGACTTCCCTATAGCAATTGTGGTGTTAGAGTATTTCACAGCTGCTTTGTTCATCTCTCCAGCAAGAGTTTTTGGCTTGGAGTTTTACATTCATCTGCTGTTTTCCTTGCACTGATCTCAACATCAAAGAGACCAAGATCTCTGATTCCGAACCAACCAACTGAAATGACAAGAGTTTAAAAGAAAAAAAGACTGATTGTACTGTCCCCAGAGCTTAAATCCACGAGTAGTCTGTAAATACATGTTCTTTCTCAGTCTCACACTTGTTCTGTTGTTGGCCTTCAAAGAGACCGGACTGAGCAAACTAACGTCCTCTCTAGGAAGCTGAATCTCTAAATTAATTATCTGGAAAGCACCACCTCTGCTAAAACAAAAATTACATTTGAAATTATTATTTTTTTCCATGACTGTAAAAGTCATAGAAAGTAATACATTTTACTATAGCGAATGTACTTTTTTTAGGTTCATAGGCTAGAAATTGCTCTTCGGTAAAGTGAAAATTGCTCAAAAGTCAGTGATGACTAGTTTGTAAGTGAATTATTCTTTTGATTTAATGCTTTTTTAGTAAATCCATTAAACCATTCCATTGTTTTATTAGTGAATCTGTCTGAATTGAAGCAATTAAAAAAATTGGAAAGGTCATGGAAAAGTCTTATTGCTTATTTAAACTAGTAATTTAACTGTATAGAATTATATAAATACACAGGAATATTGATACAGTGACCTAAATTATTGATGCAATATTGTTGAAAGCAGAATCACAATATATCAATATGCACTTTTATTCAAATAGTATTTATTTAATCAAAAATACAGTAAAGCAGTAATGTTGTGAAATATTACTATTTAAGAGAACTGTTTTGTATTTTAATAAATTGGGGGAAAAAAATATTCCTGTTGAATTTTCTGCAGCCATTACCCCAGTCTTCAGTGTCACATGATCCTTCATAAATTATTTTAATATGCTGATTCAGTGCTCAAGAATAATTTATTTCTTAAAAATAAAATTAAATAACTCAAAGCTTTTAAAAGATAATGTAGTATTTGATGTTTACTAAGAATGGTAGCAGGAGCTTTTAAGCATTAAACACTTTTTGTTTTATTGTCAGCTGTATTTGGGTCTCTGTAAATAAATTTAATTGTCTTAACTTGAGACATTATGTCAGCAGTAAACTCTGTAAAGCAGGTTTGCGTTTGAGTGCGGATTCATTTCTATTCTGAGTGTACACAAACATTTAACAGCCCATATTTCCTGCGACTTTCTCTTCATTCTCTCGCATCGATCCTCAATCTCAGTAAAGAAAAAACCTGATTTACAGGAATAATCTGATTTATGAGAACAGATATGAGCTCTTGTGCAGTACTGCTCGGTTGGACATCATGGTTTATGATGTGAACAATTGAGACCACTTTATTTACAGCAAGACGTTTTAAGATTTTATTGATGACAGATTGAATGATGCGTTTCCTTTCTGCTCTTTTCCTGTAGATCACTGTGAGATGCTAAGCGGCTGTCCGGATGATGAACCAATGACCCCTGGTGACGAAGGTTTGGATGCTGCAGTAGATGACACCCTCCTAGAGACCAGCCCTATCCAGTCCCCCTTGCAGGTTTTCGCAGGTATGGGCGGCTTGGCGCTCATTGCAGAGAGACTTCCCATGCTGTACCCCGACGTTATCCAGCAGGTCAGTATATCTGCAAGCTTGCTCTCTTTACAAAATCAAATTCTACCGCATAGGTAATTTTTTTGTAGCTTCACTCCATTTCTGCTTCATAAGCCCTTACGAGCTCGCCCGGTGACCGTGAACTCGGGTTAGTCAGCATTTCTGGCCATTTGCGTGCCCTCTGAGTCCGTTTGTCCGGATCGTTCTGTGCAGGTCAGTGCCCCAGTGGTGCCATCCACTACACAGGAGAAGCCAAAGGACAGCGATCAGTTTGAATGGGTCACCATCGAGCAGTCTGGAGAGCTTGTTTACGAGGCACCCGAGACCATCGCGGCTGAGCCTCCGCCCATCAAATCCTCCGTTCAGACCATGTCGCCCATCCCTGCCCATTCTCTGGCGGCATTCGGCCTGTTTCTGCGGCTGCCGGGATATGCTGAGGTTCTGCTAAAGGAGAGGAAACATGCGCAATGTCTGCTCAGACTGGTGCTGGGGGTCACAGATGATGGAGAAGGAAGTAAGTACCACTTAAGTACAAGAAGCATTACTTTTGAATTTGTTTACAATTTAGCAATCGATTTTGTTTATATAAAGTGAATCTAGGTTTTTTGGCAATATACGACTATTTCATATTCACTGTGTGTTGTTCACGTATCCATTAGCCCTGTTTGTGTGTTTGAGAGAGAGATTATTGATTGAAACAGAGCAGACTGATGTGGAACGCTGTTTTTTTTTTATTCATCAGCAACCCCTGCATATCTGTGTCCGCCATCAACCGCTTAAGTCACTGTCTCCGAGACCTTTCAGACTCCTCTCTCATATTTAACAGGCTATTACTAAAGGACAAAGTGTCAGTTTTTATGCGTACATGAGGGTCTGTGTAGAGTGCATATGACGCATATTTCCTCACCAGAATATTATGTGCGCCATTCGATTTTTTTTACTTTGTATGCACAGGTCGCGCATGCGCATTGACTTGGTTTTGCACTAATCAGGTGTTCCACAAGGTGGCAACACTGGCTCAGGCTGTTGTTTCACAGTAGAACACGAAACTAAAGAGATGGAACAACAATATCGGAGGCTAACAACAAAAGACGCCCACATTGACAAGCGCTTGTGTGAGAGGGTTATGAGATTAAAAGACTACGAAGATGTTTTTATCAGTCATAACTTTTGCGCAGACACTGGACAAAGATGAAGCTTTCTAGAGTGCATGTGTTGACTGCCTGTATTTGCGTACACCTCAGATGAACTATACTTTGAAAGGCTACATGTACGACTATGTGCGCATGCGTAAAAAAAAAACAAAAAAAACAAAGTATGCTTGGGTCTTTACAGTTTTGTTCAAAAGTTTTTTTTTTTTTTATGTTTTTTAAAAGAAGTTCCTTTTAGTCACCAAGGCTGCATTTATTTGATCAAAAAATACAGTAAAATTTAGTAATATATTGAAATATTATTGCAATTTACAATAACTGTTTTCTATTTGAATATATTTTAAAATGTAATTTATTCCTGTGATGGCGAAGCTGAATTTACAGCAGCCATTCTCTATTCTTCCGTGTCACATGATCCTTCAGAAGTCATTCTAGTATGCTCATTTGCT